CCCCAAAACCCCAAAACCCCAGAGTCAAATATTCAAATTAAATGATGAGATTTATGATTAAATAAAAAGCTTGAATATTAAGAAAAGTAATTTGTAATTATACAAGTTCAATCATAATATATAAAAACATTCATAATTAAATTCAAAACTTCATTAAAATGAATGCTGACTTTATGAGACTGCTATAGGAGCAAGTCAATAAAAAACTATAAGATTATAGACCAGACTAGGAGAGCTAAATGAGTCAAGAGAGCTAAGACAATAAGTCCTCATAGGGCTCAATCTCGAATTCATTTTTTGAAAACTAAGATGAATGTAATTCAAAGGCCAATAACTGCGAAGTTACAAATGAAACTTTTTCTTATTATGACTATGATCAATACATGCCTACAGAACCGCAGGTTAAATAACCTTAAATTGGTGGAGAATTCGGTCAACAAGAATAGAGAACTCAAAATATCACCAGTAACGATGAAAGAGAATCCTTTCAATCATTTTTTCAAACTGCAGATATTTTTAAAGGCAAGATTTCCTCATCTTTGAATCAAGATGACTAATCACAAAATCCTGATACTATTCTTTAACATCTAATGCAGAGAGGTAGCTAACTGTCTAAATAAAGCAATAAGCAGGAATCTGTGAGATCGGCTGTACCATACAAATGATAAAAAGATGGAGAAGACTAGACACTTACCTTATCTTAAGAAGCCATTATTGATACATTTGATTAATAGCAAGAATGGGATATTGGTCTTATTAAGTTCAGATAAACAATTATTGGTTTTTTAATAGGTATGTTTAGAGAAAATAACAATGAGCCTATGCACTTTGACTAGGTTTAAGAATTTATGGCACCTTGCTTTTAGTTTCTTAGGTGAAAGGAGGGATCTAGATATACTGCAAATATTACAAATTGTATTTAAGGCTCTCTCTTTTCTAATAATAAGCTATTTTGGAAGGACTCTAAAGGCTACTGGAGAATGAATGTAATTAATATAACCAACTTAATTATTAGTTAGGTCCATGTAAAGATTATGAGCATCAAATGCTAGGCAAGTCTAAAGCAACTGGAAGTGTAGCCACTACAAGGAAAAAAGAGGCAACTTAAAGCTTGATTTCAACTAGCTTTATGAAGTCTAGAAACGATAAAAAGCGAAAACGTGAAGTCATTGAAAAACTAGAGTTGATATACTAAAAGATACATTCTAAATTGGATAATCCTTTTAAGGTAAGCACATCAAGTTCTTGAGGAATTAACTTATATATAGACAGCAAAGAAAGTTAGCTCCATAGATGAAGTATGGAGAAAAATGCCTCCATAATAGTAATCTGGCTACATAAATGCCTTCGTTATCCTTAGACCAATTTTGAAAAAGGCTGTTAAGTAATAAGATAAAGTCTAGAGAGCTATCTCAATGCTTATCAAATCAGGGATCTTTTCTAAAAAGAACATTTAACAAGGAGCCAATCAAGTAGATGGGATACCATATATTTCCCATCAAGATGCAATCAAACTTCTAGAGATGGAGGTCTCTCTGGCAAATATGAATGATAAGATAAATAGTGTATTCTTACGAACAAAGGAGAACTTAGATGTCTATCAGCAAAGAGTTTAGAAAGTTTAGGCAGACTCTCAGCAACCATAATGAATTTAAATTAATAAACCGCGATACGGATCTCATCCTATGTAAAAATCTACTTAATAAGAATAATAATTTAATACAAGTTTAAAGAGAAGAATCAATGGTACGCACTTTTCATAATAATCTTGGCTTTTTAGATTCTAGACCTTACCCGAAGAAACTCTTCAGGTATATTAGACAAATAATAAAGTAAACCCCACAACTAAATGAGGCTACAAAAAATTAAGTAACTCACTCGGAGTATATTAACAATATTGATACTTATTGCCGCGATTGAGTGATCAGGTAAAAATAGATCTTTCTTATTAATTTCGAGTTCATAGTTCCAGGAGCAAATGCTCAGTCAATTACTCTGGGTCTGACTTTTTCACCATTAACTGTTGGTTCTACTTCATCCATGACTTACACTGTTACTCCAAGTTCATTTTCTTTTGCAACTGGTGATGAATTATTGTTGACATTTCCTACTTCAATGGTGGGTTCTCTGATCACAACTGCAACCTGCTAATCAGTAAGTAAAAGATTCTTTAGAATGAAGTTTTCAATCAATACTCAATCTTTCAATCAAACTCAAAAATATTTGAAGTAAATATTGATTTTTAGGGAGCTTCAAGTCAATACACAATTACTTGTTCGTATACGACAAACACTATAAGAGTAGCAATTACAATAGTCACTACATCTCCTTCATAATTTAGGATGACTATTAGTAACGGATATCAAAACCCAACATCTGCTCAGAAAATTTCTTCAATTAAAGCAGATATTTATAGAAGTAGTTCAGTTTATGCGACAAGAACCTCTGGTAGTGTGTCATTTACAGCAGCTGTTATGACTACTGCCTCACTAGAATCTTCTAGTAAGATAGTAGGAAACAGCGACGCGACTTTAAAAGTAAATTAATATACAATATCATTTCATTAATAACATAGGTATCATTTACTCCTAAGAATCCATTGCCAAGCACAGGCTACTTGATATTTTCTTTGCCCTTTTATACATCAACCAGTGATCACATGATAACGACTACTTCCCCTACTTGCGCTTCTGTTACAGGAATGAGTAGTTCAATAACCTGCACTTATGACACAAATTCGAGGTTTCTTACTGTGAAGAATCCAGTTAGTTCTTCGACATCAGGCAGCTCTTTAACATTTTCGATTTACCCCTTTAAGAACCCATACAATGCCAAGAAGAAATCATCTTTCAAAATTACAACTCTTGATAAGGATAATTATGAAATAGATTCAGTTAGTAGTTTAACTTTGCAAGTTACTGACTTCGCTACATTCAATAGTGTAGAAATCTACAGATATGATGGAGTTATGACAGTAGAAGAAACATCAATCCTGAATTTTGTACTCAGCCTTAGTTTTCCAGTTGATGCTAGCTGTAGACTTAGAATTGATTTTCCTACTGATTAACCCTTAACAAGTGACTTAGTAAATATATTTGGTGATGAATCCATTATAAAGACTGAAGGTTCTACCTCAATTACTAATAGTGCTCCAACTTACTTTACCTATGATGGATGTCCTAATTTCATTTCAACCACCTAGTCTTAAGGAATGTATGTATACTTGGAAAGCGTTTTAAATGCTGGTAAAGTCAAAGATACCAGTACTTTTACAATTAAACTTTACGCACTTGATTCTGGAGTTGAATATAATATTGCGGAAATCACTGCTGGACTAATTATAACTAAGGACATGCTGTCCACAGGTTCGATTGCAAGCTTCAAATTGACTGCTGCAACAACTACAGTATCTGCCACCTCTTTATATACACTTGAGATTTAGCCATCGCATTCAATCCCAGCAAGTTCAAAAATCAAAGTTAAATTCCCAACTAGTATTTCTTTACAGAATATAATCTGTACTGTATCAACCGTTACTACACCAATAAGCACTGGGTCAAGTTGCCTAGTTAGCAGTAATGTTCTCACTTTGACGAATCCATTTGGATCCTCAACCTTTACAAAAGGTGGATCAGCTTTCTCGTTTATGTTTAGTAACGGAGGTACTAATCCAGACTCCGTAAGAGATGCGGGTACATTTACTGTGTCAACCTATTATACTGATTCAGGCATTGACTACGGTATTGATTCCTCCGATTTCACTAATGTCTTTACTCCCACAGCTGCAGTTCTTACTGCTGTTGTGACCCCAGCTTCCCTTGTCGCTTATAATAGTCCAACAGACTATGCTTTTGCAATAACTCCTGTCTAGACTATACCAATAGGAGGAAAGATTAAAGTAGTATTTCCTACTGTGATCACTGGAACTTCCATTACTACATGCACTTTATCTATTAGTGGAAGCTCCCCGACATGTACGGTCAGCTCAACATCCCCACTAACTGTATCTATAACTGGTGGATTCACAACAGCTTACACCGCTAAGACAACTCCTTTCACTCTTACTCTTGGTAATTTAAGAAATCCAAGAACAACTGCTGTTACAAGTTCTTTCACCATTACAACTACCGATTCTTCAGATAATAAAATAGCTGAAGCTTCAACTGGAATTACAGTTTAGATGACTCAAGTCCCAGATATCACATCATTCGCAGTGGCTCAAGCAAGCGGTGTTAATGGAGCTGCCACTGACTACACATTCACGGTTACATCACCTATTCCACAGCTCTCAACTGATAAGATAACCTTCACTTTCCCAACTGAGATCACTGTTCCAGGTTCAATTACATGCGCTACTGTTTCTAATGTTGGAGCAATATCTTGCGCAGTATCTGGAAGCACAGTCACTGCAACATTTACATTCTCTGGAGGTACTCTAGCAGCAAGCACTGCCTTCTCATTCAAAGTGTCTTCTATTACTAACCCTCCCAGTACAGCCCCGACATCTGCTTTTACTGCAGTTGAGATGAGAGATACTAGCGATGGAAAACTTGCAGGATTTTCAGGTACAGTATTGGTCACAGATACAACTCCAGCAACAATTACGACTAAATCCTTAGATTAAGCTATATATACCTTGAGCACAGCAACCACTTATACAATCACATATACAACTATGAATGCTATGGCAGCTGGAGGTGCTTTCAAAGTTACTTACCCATCAACTGTTAGTTCAGATGGATCAATCACCACTTGCAATGTTATCTACAGCTCTGTAACATATTCAATGAGCGGCTGCACAGTCGATACTACTAATAAGATCATTTCTATTCCGACAGGTTTTACACAAGCAGTAGCAAAGGGAGATTCTATTAAAGTCTAGTTTGGGCCAATAACTAATCCGAGTACAAATAAACCCACAACTTCTTCATTCTCAATACAATCATACACATCATCAACATTTGTCTATACATTTGATCTAGCAACAACAGATTTACTTCCAAACTTTGATTGTACCTATCCATGCAATACTTGCAATACTGGATAGAAAACTCAGTGCCTTACTTGCATACCATTTGCTACCGATCCAGCCTTTCCATATTACTATTCGACTGGACTTTCATGTTTAGTAATATGTCCTGATGGTACCTACAATGACAACTATATTTGCAAAGCTTGTCCAACTGAGTGCAAGACTTGTTCAAGTGCTACAGTATGCATTACTTGTGATACCACAGGCAACTATCCCTACTTCTCAAGTAACTGGTGTGTTTCATTGTGCCCTACAGGATAATGCTCATAAAACTTTATTTGCACATCAACTTGCACTGCATCTCAGTTCACGAGTATTACCATAGTTCCTAGTCCGACTGCAATCAATTCAGTCGGGACAACACTCACAATCACTGCTTAACTAGACACAAGTGGATCAAGTTCTAGAACTACTTACAAGACAGGAGATATCCTATACTTTAATATTCCATCTCCTGGCTCTTTCACAGCTGCCACTGGTACATCATATTGCACAGCGGTAAGTATCTTCATATTTATATTTAGCTTTACTCATTATTCCCTTGATTAATTTATACATTGGATTTATCGGAGATTAATTAAAATTAACTATAGAGTGCAGTGACAGTTCTCACAACAACTGTTCTTTCAGTTTCTTCCTGCTCAATCAACTCAAATTCATTCTAGCTTAAGGTCGGAACTATCTCTGGATCACCATCTAAGCTTGTAATGACTGTACAGAAATTCAATAATCCAGCTTCAAGCTGTGATATTACATCTGTAGCAGCATAGTTGCTTGATAGCACAGGAAATACTTAAGCTTAATATTCAACTGGTAAAGTTACAGGATTTACGGGAGGCACAATAACAACAGCTCTACTTAGTTCAAGTTCACAAATAGTTGGGTCATCAGGCAATACGTTGACAGTATCATTCGCTGTAGTGAATGCTTTGACAGCCGGAGGAACAATCAAGCTGATATTCCCATACTGGAATCCTAGCTCATCTACTAAATTACATATGATATCAAGTCCAACTTGTACTGGAGTAGAATTCCTTTCAGGATCTTTGACATGCACATATGATACTGCAACTTTGACTTTGTCTATCACTACAACTTCTGCTGCTCCCACAGCAACTGTGATTAGCTTTACAGTTACAGGCTTTAGGAATCCATACAATGGAATAGCTAAAAGTGGTTTCACTCTATCAACATATGATTCAACATCTTGCGTGGTTGAATCGATAACAACTCTAACAATTCAAACAAATACAATGGCTACACTTACAAGTGGAGCAATAAGCAGAGTTGATGCTATCTCTACTGTTGAAGAGCTATCCACAATGAAGATGACATTCGTTCTTGATTTACCTACTGACATATCATGCAAACTTGTTATAGGGTTTCCAGCAGATTAGCCCGTGACATCTGCTTTAGCATCTTTTGCATCAGGAACCAATATACTTAGCACTGTGGCATCAACAACAACTGCAACAAAAGATACAGCAGCTTAGACAGCAACTATCACTGGCTGCTCCGCATACGCTGAAAGCGGCTTAACTTCAGCAGTCAACCTTGTCCAACTCTTTAACACACCTTACAAAAAAACAACAAGCACTTTCTCCCTCTAATTATATGCATTAGTTGGCAGTACTTCCTACAATATTGCTGAGCTAACAACAGGAATCACAGTAGCAGATACTATACTAGCAACTGGTACTGTCACTGGGTTTGTCCTTACACCTACCTCCACTGTGATTAATGAATAAACTACATATAAACTAACGTTTAAGCCGTCGCATAGTATCCCTACTAATTCTAAAATTAAGATAACTTTTCCCTCTTCCATGGTTATGACTGATGCCTCTTGCACTCTTTCAAGTGTGACATTAGCCAGTCTTAATCCATCTGCCTGTGAAATGAGTTCTAATGTTCTCACTTTGACGAATCCATTTGGATCCTCAACCTTTACAAAAGGTGGATCAGCTTTCTCGTTTATGTTTAGTAGCGGAGGTAAGAACCCAAGCATTATTGCAGACGCAGGAACTTTCATTGTTCAAACATACGCAACTATTCTCTCAGTAGATTATCCAATAGATGAGTCATCATTTACGAATGTATTCACACCAACTGCTACCTTGCTAAAAGCTACTTTGACAACAATATCTAGCTATGTTACTAATGCATAACCCTCATCCTACACATTCACAATAACTCCAAAGAGTGATGTTGCCTCGGGTTCATAACTGAAATTTATTTTCCCTACTTAAATTTAGCTTACTGATTCAGGTACCTCAGTAACACCAATTACCACAACTATTTCTGGCACTACTCGAACTCTAAGTGGCTGCACTACAACTAGTGTAAGTGGCCTAGTAAATGTAATTTGTTCTGATCCTTTTACATCTGCATTCAATGGAGGAGGAACAGGATCATTCACAATTACATTAGGAGGAATGAAAAATCCAAGAAGCTTAGCAGTAACTGACTCATTTGAGATTTTTCTAAAAGACTCATCTGGTGGGGATCTAGAGGTAATTTAAACAGGAATTACTGCTACTATGTTGACACAATCAGATATGGTTCTATTCAAAGCAGTCCCTGACAGCTTTGTGAATGGGGCTTCAGCTACTTATGAGTTTACTATCTAATCATCTTAAGCACTTTCCAATGGTGATTACATTTCATTCCTATTGCCAACTGAAATAACTCTACCAACAGGCACTCTAACTTGCACAGCTGTGACTAATATTATAACAGTAACTTGTTCAAAAATATCAAGCAGCAAAGGAATCAAAGCTGCTTTCACTTTCTCAGGAGGATAATTAGTCTCAGGTAATTAAATAGTTTTTAAAGCAGGACTTCTATCAAATCCCCCTAATACTTAGGAATCAACTGAATTCGATTCAATATAACTCTATGATAAAACCAACAGTGCACTTGAAACATACAATGACCCAGTTACTATTACTATGACAACTCCAGCAACTGTAACTACTAAATCATTAGCCTAAGGGGTTTCATCCAGTAGTGTTGCAACTACCTATACAATTACTTATAGTAATGTAAACAAAATGGCTGCAAATTCTGCTTTTGAGATTACTTACCCATCAACAGTTACAGTACCTAGTTCTCTCACAACATGCTATATCATGTACAATAACATCAAGTATACTATGACTTGTGCTGTAGACAGTGCAAATAAAAAGATAAAGGTATCAGACACTTTCTCATCAGCTGTAGCGAGTGCTGGCTAATCAATAAAGATTTATTTAGGTCCAATTACTAATCCTGCAGATTCATAAAACACATAAACATTCTAGCTAATGTCGTATACTGATAATACTTTTACTTATAAAATTGATTAAATTACGGGTGGGCTAATTCCAAGTTTCGCATGCACTCTTCCTTGCAAGACTTGCTCAGCTACTGACTTGACTTATTGCCTATCATGCTTTATTGATGTTTCTAGTATAATTGAAAAATACTTTTATAGCAATAAATGTCTCACTGTTTGTCCTTCTGGGTACTATGCTGGAGACTATCAAATATGTACTAAATGTGATGATAGATGCCTAACTTGCAATCAAGCTGGCAAATGCTTAACTTGCAACAATACTGGATCATATCCTAATTTCCATGGAGTAGACAGCATGTGCTATGGAACCTGTCCAAATGGATATTTTGCTAATTCTACATTCTATTGTGCAGCTTGTGATTCAAACTGTAAGACTTGTAATGTCAATGAAACTAATTGCACTTCATGCTATGCTAGTGGCTAATACCCATTCTTAGCTGACAATAAATGCATTAATACTTGCCAGAATGGGCAAGTTTCTATAAATTATACTTGTACAAACTGTTCAACCTAGTGCGTTTCATGCCAATCAACTCCAACTTAATGTTCATCATGTTCAGTAGGATATCTTTATGGAACGAAATGTGTCACAGATTGCCCTTCACCGTATGTATAAAGAGGTACAAAGTGCGTAGGATGTGATCCTAATTGTGGTTAATGTTCTAAAACTGATGTGAACTATTGTGATAAATGCGCTTCTGGATACATACTTTATGATTAAGTATGTTACACCAAGTGTCCAGACGGCTACTAGCCCACTAGTAACAATATTACATGTGAAAAGATTGTTAATATAACAAATGTAACTATTACTTTCAACAAGACTGATGATACAGCCAGTCCTATTTTAATGTACTTCCCCTATGCTTCAACATAAACAGTGCTGGGAGGTGTAGTTGGTGCTGCAGTTTTGAAGAGTTCTGCATCATTGGTATCAACAAATCTTATTGCATTCTGGGGACCTTTGGAATTCATGTCATTTGGTACTCAAGTTTACCTAGCCTATGATAAGTTAAATAGTTCGACGTCTGCGGTTAGTAATAGCACGATTTAGATATAGCAAGTAAATTCTAGAAGAAATCTCTAAGAAGATTACTAACTCTAGACACCTTAGACTAATATTTGGCCATTAGTTTTCTATGGAACTGCATTTGCTTTTATAGTGAAATTTATCATGAACATTATCTTTGGATTTCTGTTCTTCTTAATAATCTTCCACGATCCAGGCTTTAGAGAATACTATGAGCAATATAAATGGACTCCAAAGATCATTTTTGTGATTGGAGTGCTATTTTCGTTCAAAATTTATAGACTATTTTACTCCAGATTGTTTGGTTCTTTGAGATTCTATGTATAATTTGAAAATCCTGAAAGAATTCATAGCATTTTCAATATCCTAACAGTGCTAAATATTGTATTTTCATGTCTCCCAGTTCTTGCAATAGATATATATGGCTTACTAAAGTATGGATGGGGAGGATAATTCTATATTATAGTCATAGAGACCTTAGCCATAACATCCTTGCAGATTGGATTCTAGACTTATGAATACTACAAAGTCGAGAAGGTTATTGATCCTTCTAAGTAACTAGTTTACAATTTCCTGCCAGAAGACTTCCAGAGAGCAGAAGAAAGAATAATGAGAATGGTTGAGGAAAGATTCTAACGATTAATGGATTAGAGAAGGTAAGAGGAGGAAGACAAATAAAGACTTTTAAAGAAAGACCAAGATGATACTTCCATATTTGATCCATTCCCAGATAATGTCTATGCTGACGAAGGATTTTTACCTAAAAAGAAACTTAAGCCTGATTAAATAAAAACCAAGGTAATCCAATATGGATAGGATGCTCAAACTGGACAAGATTACGATTCTGATTTTGAGAAGAGGTTCAGAGCTTAGACACCAGACATAGAAAAAGCAAACTAGAGAAATGAGCAAAGATTCGAAGTGAAGCCGAATCCAGATAATGAGGATGAGTCACTTACAAATGCTCAGTAAAGAAAGAACAAAGGCAGGGAGAAGAAAAGAGGTAGAAAGGACAAATTCCATAATGATATTGAAAAAGACAATCAGAAGTTCCTTTAAGAAGAAGAAAAGTCATCACTTTCCCCTGTGTCTCCAAAGAAACTCATTGAACTCAGAAAATCAATAATCATTGAGGAAGAGGAAGAAAAGTTGCAGAGCATTTAGGAAGAATCACACTACACTGAAAATCCAATTAAGTCTACTGCAATGGACTAAAAACTGCTTGAAAGTCAGATTATAGAGGATGAAGAGCATCAAGAAACTGAAATATTTGAGGAAGAGAATGCAATCGATGGTCCAAATCAAATGTTTGACTAAACAAGAAAGCCAGATGCAAGCTTATTAGAAAGGGAATCACCAATGGATAGAGATTCTTCAAGACTTATGGAATCTCCAAAGCCTCAACAAAACTAGAAATTGCTTGAATCACCAAAAGCTAAAACCTCTCCTAGGATTGATTAATAATAACTTTTAGAATAGTAGAATATTTAAAAGTAACAAGAGTTAGACAAGTTAGAGGAAGACATTGATTACATGAATCCAAAGTTCAAGTCTACTCTTCAGATGCAGAAAGAAGTTGAGATGCTAATTAAGCCAGAACAAGAAGATGAGGAATAGAAGAAAAAAGATAATGAAAAGGATAAAAAGAAATAGTAAAAGAAAAAAGAGTAAGTAGAAGAAGAGGAGGACGAGTTGTATTTAGATAACAACATTCCAAGTGAGATGGGAGAACCAGACTCAGACGATGACAATGAAGTCAGAATTAAAAATATAACTCATCCAGAAAAGAAAAGATTTAACGTTAATGACATTCTGGGTCAATTTGATTAAGATGACAAGGGAAACCCAGTTATTCTGCAAGATAGCGATGGCGAGTACGTAGATAAAGACGGAAGCAGAGTAAACTAGAAAGGTTATTTGATTGATGAAAAAACTGGAGATGTTGTTGAAAAGGAAGGAGGTAAGAAGATCTTTGATTTTAAGGACCTGGATGAAAGAGGAGAACTTCCAGCTCCATACAATCTCGAAAGATTTAACTTCAACATTCATGATGTTAGAGGGTATTTTGACAGAGACAAAGACGGAAACGAGATCATGTGGAACAGAAAAGATGGAGATGGCAACCCAATCGATAAACTCGGAAGAAGAATCAATAAATATGGCTACCTTATTGATAAAGATGGAAATCTAGTTGATAAGAGAGGCAGAATCAAGTTGAATAGCAAAATAATGGACAAGAATGGAGGAGAAATTCCCATGATTTTCAACTATAAAGGCAAAAAGTTTGATATTAGAGAATGTATGGGAGCATTAGATAAGGACAGACAAGGCAACATAATCATAAGAAGAGACAGAGACAACAAGATGGTTGATAAGAAAGGCAGAAGAGTAAACAACAAAGGATATTTAGTTGATAACTAAGACAACGTAATTAGTGAAGATGGACTGATGATGTTCGAAAAGTTCTTGCTTTCTAAGGACAATGAAATACCTAAGCTCTTCCCATTCCTGAAGTTCAATATTGACGATATCAAGGGAGAATTTGAGATGGATCCTCTAGGAAATCCAATGTTACACAAGAGCAAACTGGGATTTGTTGATGACAAAGGAAACAAAGTAAATGAGAAAGGTTATCTGTTAGATGATAATGGAAATGTACGAAACAAGAAGGGTTTCTGCGTCTTCAATAGGTTCATGCTTGAGGACGATGGAGAAATTCCAAACATATTCAGAACTGGATTAATAAGGAAAGACACCTAAGATTCATTAGCAAAGTTGATGGATGAAATTGATGATTTAGAGATGATTTAGGACCTTGATGTGAATGATCCAAGGAGAAGAAAAACTCTCACTCAGCAGACTCTTGGAGAGCATAAGAGACTCCAAGATAAGATAGATTAAATCGTTGAAGAAGACAACGATGATGAAATTATGAGAGAAATTGAGTAACTTGCTGGTGATTAGCCATTCTCAGATGGTGGTAATACATCAGTAGATAGCTTAATGGAAGACACTCCAAGTAACTATAATGCAGCAAATTAGAGGTTTAATGAAGTAGAGAAAATCAAGAATAAAGCCAAGAAGAATATAAAGAAACAGCAATAGGTACCAGAGGAGGTTGAGTTGGAAAGTTAGTACTCTTATCTTCCAGATAAGAAACTGAAAGCAAAGAAGAAGAAAAAGAAGAAGAAGAATAAGGATGCAGATATTGACAGAGATTTATTGATGGCCAAAGCGTATGGTAAGATAACTCAGTAGCAATACGAGAAGCTACTTGAAATGAAAAAGATGAAAGAAAAGTAAAACAGTCAACTAAACCTGATGCTTGGCAACCCCAAAGTCATGCCTTAAATGTCTTAAATGCCTCAAAACATGAATAGAGATGCTTCCAATACAAAAATGGCAGGTGTCCCTAGTAAAAGAAGCCCTTTGAATGATGGGGATATGCAATCTGAATTCGGAGGAAATCAAAGCGTTAGAGATGGCTTATCAATCAAGGCATTCAAACCAAGTGTAAAGAGAGTAGGTGGTGGTTTTGCTCCTCCTCAAAAGGACGCAAAGACTGTTAGAGAAAGAGATGATATCTAGAATAAATCAACAATGAATAGATTTACTGGTGCTTAGAAAAATAACCTGATGAGTGGAACCATTGAAAACAACAATAATGATACTGCTTCAAATAACTCAAACAGAAGGTACATGCCAACAGAGAGAGACAGAAAACTCTCTCATATAGCAAATTCAGTGTCTGGATTTTACAAAGAAGGAAACCATAATCAAAGCGAGCATTCAGGTACAATTGAATCTTCTCAAGCTAAAAATTTAGTACAACGAAGACGAACTAAGTAAGATGATGGTACGAATTTCATTGATCAAGATTAATTCAAAGCAACTGCAAAAGGAGGCTTTGAGTTAGACTAGTATCAATACAGCGATAATGATAACTAGTCTCACATTAGTGGGCGAACAAACCAAAGCAGATTTAAATCAAAAAATAATCCGAGACTAAAAGGATTAGAAGCAGTTTACCTATAGAGATTGGAGCCTTCAGTCAAAGCAAGATAAGGAGGTCCTACAACATCAAGAAAAGATGACAAAGCGAAGTTTAGAGTAATGCATCACAAATATCATGATGATCCTGAGTGGCATGTTGATCCAGATAGAGATAGAGATGATTTAGATTCTGTAATCTCAAACAACTACAATCAAATGCTTGAACTTGAATTCCAAGGTGCAGACGCAATGAAAAAGAAAAAGAGAAAGGACAATTCTAAGAGCAGGTAAAATTTGGCAGGCTAAGGATCAATGAATGACTCACAAGATGGTTTTAACGCTCCAAACATATTCCATGGCAACTTCAACCAGTATAAGGAAAAGAAATTTAAGTCTACTCTTCCCAGCGTTGATTTCGCCAAGACCTGAAGAGAGGTCTAAATATTATTTTAACTAAAACACGATTGACATTATGATTAATAATCTTAATTTCATAACTAAACTTTTCAGCCACAACAATTGTAAATGAATTATTATCCATATACGTTACTTTATCCAAATAATTATAATTAATAATAATATAATTTTATAATTCATTAATTTTCTCAAATTTAATCTAAAATTACACTCATGGGGTTTTGGGGTTTTGGGG